TATTTGTACATACTGACTGAAAGATTTTTCAGTAAAGACTTAATGTTTTAGTTTATAGAAAGTGTGGTTTATCAGATTCTGATTTGTCTTCAATCTCTCTGCAAGAAAGCAAGCAGTCACGATATCTGGAAGATGAGCAAGCTGCCTCAAAGATTGCCATAATTAATACACTTTCTAGTAAGGAAACTGGACACAAGGACTTGCATCTGAGAAAACATGTAAAGGATTGCACTGTGTGTTCCAAAATTATGCCACGGGTCCAGGGAAGTTCAAGGGTTTGCACTCAAAAACATATTTTAATACTAACTCATATTAAATACCCATGAGCATAATTTTTAAAAATGACAGATGTGTGCAAGAAGGATGCTTCTATATATTATAATATTTTGTGACTGGTATGCTTCAATACTTGTAATATCCTAATCCCTCAATACCTGTGCTAACAACTGAAAGAATTCTACAACATTTCTGGTCTCCCCTTTTCAAATCACTTAACATATTCCTACTCACTTTAATGAGATTGAAAGAACACAGACGTAACCAATTACAAAAGAGGGTGAACAGAAGGTAGGGGTTAATTTCCCATGTGCTACTGTGTCTTGAAAACTTGCAGGGAAACAAAAGTGAAGGAAGACCACATTACTAATCGGTAGGGATCCATGTTCAAATGGGGGAAAGCATCAGTAGCAACAGTTGACCAAATCTATCTTCTAAAAGTTTCATACGCAGCTGTTTGTGCCAGATCCCAGAGAAACCGAAGTCCTCCTCATTAGTGCAAAACAATTTCATTTTTGTTACTTTTTTGTTTCAAACTAATCAGGAGGGCAAATCCTGCACCACCACCACCCCCCCATACACCCCAAACCTAAAACTAAGACCCAGTGCCCTCAGACTTGAACTTCTGATTCTAAAGTGGATTGTTATTTCAACAATAGGAATGTCTCCTTTTGTCAGGTTTTGTCTCCCTTCCTTTGCTCCACCGGCCCTTCTCTTTTGCCAACTGGAGATTTTCACAGGATTCCTTTGTCTGGGTTACTTGAACCTCTAGAGGTGGGTAGAAGAATGGGGTGTGCAGATGTCCTGAAATGTATGCCTGAAGGCAGAATTACTACCCGTTGCCTCCCAACATGGATTCTTGCCACCTGTGTTATAGCAAGCTGTGTTATAACACAGAACAACCCATTCAGACAAATTTTCTTCTCTCCCTTCCTCAGTTACCTGCTGCCCAGGTGGCAGAAAGGAGGAGCTTATTCTCTACCTGATTCCTAAATGCTCACCTGGATGAACTAGTGAGAAAGCATTATGAGCTGGCTTTTGAGCTGTCTGCATATGGTCTGAGGGACAGGGAGGCACGAAAAGTCAGGAAGAGTAAACAGTTCACACAAATGCACACCTCCTCACTAAATTCTCCTGCAATGTCTTCACTTAGCAAAGTGATTTGAATTTGACAGCATATAATCAGTTATGGGCATATAAAATTGGTCCCAGCACTGGACAAAAGTCTAATGTAATGAGATAATGTAAACCTCAGATTAAAAGTATCATAGACATCTTGGGAGGTTGGCACTTTGGCAGTTTAGTTGTGATTTGAAGACAGCTAGTTTTAACTAGCTGCATTTTAAACTGTTTTTATTTTATTGATGTGTTAACAGTGGTTGTTTTATAACTTTTATGTGATATTGTTTTTATATTCATGTACTGTTTGTTATATACTGCACTTGTAGTACCTTGTAAGCTGCCCTGAGTCCCTTTTGGAGATGGTGGTGAGATATAAAAATTATTATTATTATTATTATTATTATTATTATTATTATTGTCAGCAAAATATTGAGAAAACATAATTGCTTCATTTGGTTGCAAACAATTCTTCTTAAAACTATGGGTTTGGCTGCTCTGATACATTAACTGAAAATAGACTGTCCCTCATGTCTTACATTTATTTGCATCCATACATTACATAAAGTACAAAACTAAAATAATGTGATGAGACAAGCAGAAATTAAAGGAAGAGGCCTGCTTTCATCTTAGCATCCCAACCTGTTTTTCCTTACGAAGACCTCCCACTTTTCTTTTTATTCTGATGAACTGTGAGCAAAACAGGGTGAAATACAGTCCTCCTTTTTGCTGTTTGACTTCAACATGCAATGTTTGAGAAATGTTAAATTAGGGGAGGGAGTTCTGTGTATTGAATCATGTAGGGATACTTCAAGCAGCCCGTTTTAGGACTTCATTGATTTCTGTAGGTTTTTGTGTAAATTATATCACATATTCCTTAAAAGTAAAGTAATTTGAAACTAAATCTCAATATAATACAAACAAACAAAAATTAAAGGCAACTGTCAGTTTCCTAAAAGTGAAGCAAAAGTAAGACTTTGTGCAACTTTTCATGTCAAGTATTTTAAGGCAATTCAAAATATTTGCAACAGGGAGCAGATGTCATTATAACATAATTAATTATTCAGAATACAATCTGAATCCTATAGACCTTTGTTTCATAGAGATAACATCTGTCCAGTATTTATCAGCCTTTGTTTCTTGAAAATAGTGGGCACTTGGTCTTCAAATAGGTGGTCTTGCTTAGCATTATTGTATGTATAAAGGCATGGCCATAAACACATTCTAAATGTCACCCTAAATGGTTAACTGTATGCCGCATGGCTCAATGTTTGAAACTGTCTTCTAAGAATACAGGAGACTGGAGTTCATATCAAACCAGTATGTTGTCATTGTTAAAGTGACAAATTAGTATGCATGATCAGGAATTATGTAGAGTCCCAGAAACTGATTTATATCACTTTTATTCTTGGGAGTTTCAAATGTTCTTTTGTCCCCATCTTGATTTCAATCAGTTCTGCCATTCCTGAGGTCTCTTTTATTCTTCTGTTCCTAATTCAGCTCTTCCTCAACACTTCTCTATTCAATCACACTGACTATACTAGCCTAAGGTTTTACTTTCTGACCACTCTGTGTGTCATCAACTCAAATTTGGATGTGAGAAACCAATTTGAGATTATTCTTAAATATCTCTAAGGGGGGAAAAAACTCCTTTGCCTAGAGGTTTCCATATGGACCCTCACCAAGATGCAGATGATAAATCAAATGCCTTCTTTTACATTCATCTGTCCCACGCAGTATATTATGAGATGATTCCTCCTTCACACTCAAATTAGAATAATCACAACATACAAAAAGTCCTGAGCCAAGTCCTACTCTTATATATTTATTTATTTTATGGTATTTATATCCCATCTGTTCTATAGCACAGACTGTCAAAAGTAGTAGAAGGACTTCAGTTCTGGCTGACTTCACTTCAGAGTCTAACACCAACTACACTCCTAAGAGAAGCTTGATATCTATTGGGCCTACTGGCAGTGCCTGGTAAGATCCCACTGGGACTAAACTCATGGTACATAATCATACTCCCAAACAAATGAACAGGAATGGCCAAAAGTGTGTCCCGAGAAGTTGAAAACAAACAGAGAGACACCCTCCTCTTCTTTATCCCTGTTCACTATGACCCCTTCCACACAACTGAATAAAATCCCACATTTTCTGCTTTTAACTGGAATATATGGCAATGTGGACTCAAATAACCCAGTTCAAAGCAGTTATTGTAGGATTTTCTGCCTTGATATTCTGGATTCTATGGCTGTGTGGAAGGGCCCTCAATTAACTGGGTTCAAAGCAGATATTGTGGGGTTTTCTGCCTTGATATTCTGGATTCAATGGCTGTGTGGAAGGGCCCTCAGTTAACCCAGTTCAAAGATATTGTGAGAGTTTCTGCCTTGATATTCTAGGTTCTATGGCTGTGTGGAAGGATCCTAGGTTAAATCCCCTTCTTTTCTAGCAGAAAGCATTGAAAAGTGAGAAACTTTCAGGGCTGTGAAGAAAAGCCTTCTTACAGCCCAGCCAAATCTCCTGCAAAGTGTCAGAATTTTAAAAACAATTCAGTTCCAAAACCTGCTGTCTCCCTCCAGGGCCAGCCTGGATCCCTACATTGTGTTTCTTTGAATTGCCTGCCTTAATCAACACCTGCAGCTTGAAGATGCTCCCATCATGTAGCCTCATGACAGTCTTGGGTTTCTCTCTTCTTCCCTGCTCTAAGCCCCATGCCCCAATCCACCCCACAACAAGGCTTTTGGGGGAAGAGTCTACTTTCCTGCAATGGAACAGTCCCAAACTTTTCCTAAGGCTTTGGGGGAGAGGGGACAAGAGCAAGAGAAGAAAACTCCCATATGGCTTTGGGGCACCCATCTGAATCCTGGGCTCTACAGGAAAGCCTCTCCTAAGAAGTTTTCAAGCAGCCAAGAAAGCTGTCCTGTGGTGAAAGGTCTACCAGAGACATGGGCAAAGTTTGGCCCTCCAGGTGTTTTGTGGACTGCAACTCCCACCGTTCCTCACAGCCTCAGGCCCCTTCCTTTTCCCCCTCAGCCGCTTAAGAAGGGGCCTGAGGCTGTAAGGAATGGTGGGAGTTGCAGTCCACAAAACACCTGGAGGGCCAAACTTTGCCCATGTTTTGTGGACTCCAACTCCCACAATTCCTCACAGCCTCAGGCCCCTTCCTTTTCCCCCTCAGCCCGTAAGAGTGAATGAGGCAAAGGAAGGGGCTTGGAGTTGGATACAAGCTTCCAGAGATTATGTCAGCAAAACACCTGCGCACGCCGAGGGAGCGCGACCAAAGTCTTTGACACCCAGGTCTCGGATAGAAGCCCTGCCACTCTGGAAGAACACTAACCCCCCTATTCCCTCCCCTCCACTCAAATAAGAAGGCAGGAGGGCTTACCACCATCTCGGGTAGATTCAACAGGACCCTCCGCTTGTGAACTTACTGGACGCGCTGCGATTCAAATAGGGCTGCCATCCGGGTATTCAACAGGCTCCGCGTGAACTTTGGCGCGCGGAGGGCGCACGTGCTTGCAGCAAGGCCGGTGCGCGAGGCGCTGGGAAAGGGCAGCGCGTGGGCGGACGCGCGCGCGCGCCTCGGCCCCTCTTTCTCTCACCTGGCGTTGGTGCAGTCGTTGTAGAGGGTCTCGAAGTCCTTGCGGGAGATGAGCTTGCAGCGGTTGACACCGGGCTGGATGGCGCCGAGCCCGCGGAGGATGCGGACCTGCTCTACGTTGCAGACCACGGGCGTGATCTCGAGGCGCTTGAGCTTGGTGTAGACGGTGTGGAGGCCGCCCACGAGGTGCTTGAGGAAGAGGTCGAAGGCCTGGGGCAGGCAGATCAGCTCGCAGCCTTCCACCGTGAAGGAGGCCACCTTGGCGCCCCGCAGCTCCACCATCTTGCACTCGTTGTTCTGCGGGGTGTTCTCCACCGGGGACGGCGTCGAGTAGACGGGCTTCCCCGGCGGCGGCACGGCAGGGCTGGCCACGGAGAGGGCGGCTCCGGGTGGGGCGGGGGCCGCGACTGGGACGCTGCTCTCCGCGGGCCCGTTGCTGGAAGTGGCGGAGGAGGAGGAGGAAGAGGCGGCGGCGGCAGCAGCAGCTGGGACTCCGACGGGCTCCGGGCGGAAGAGGCCAGTCCCCGCGGAGGGCGCGCTGGCCGGCGGGGAAGAAGCAGCAGGAGCAGGAGGAGCAGCCGGAGCAAGAGCAGCGGAGGAGGAGGAGGAAGAAGAAGCGCTGGAGGCGGAGGAGGAGGAGGTGGTGGTTGCAGCAGCGGCCGAGGTGGAGACAGGCGCCGGCGGGGGCCCCAGCTGCTGAGCCGCGGGCATGAGCGGAGCCGGGACGGCAGCCATGGTCACATCAGATGGCCCCCTCCCTCCCTCCCTGCCGCGAAGGACGAGGGGGGCCTCTCCTCCTCCCCCCTGCCTCCCCTCCACGAAGAAGAAGGCGAAGAAGGAGGAAAGTTGTCCCCTCGCGCGCGGAGGAGCCAGGAGGAGGAGGAGGAGTGTCCCGCCGCTGGAGCAGCAGCAGCAGCAAGGCGCTGAAGGAGAAGAATGAGGAGGAGAAGTGCCCTCCAAGAGAGGAGGAGGACTCTCGCTTCTGCTTTCTCTTCTTGCGCCGGCTTGAGAAGTTGGAAGGAGGCGGCACGCGGAAGGAAAGAAAGTGAGAGCGGAGCGGGAAAAGAGAGGCGCGCGGCGAGGTCCTCTCTCTCTCTTTCTCTTTCTTTCTCTCTCTCTCTCTCTCTGAGCTGCTGCTGCTGCCAAGGCTCGCGCTGCCTGGCTGTTCGGCCGCGGACGAGGAGTTGTTGTTGTCACGCGGTGTGCGCGCGCGGAGGGGGCGGAGCTCCGGCGAGTTGAGATTCCCCCCCCCCCTTTGAAGCCTCTGTGCTCGCCTCAAGGACCCAACCAGGAGCAGAGAGGAAAGGGGAGGGGGGAGGCGAGGAGGGAGGGCTCCTCCTTTCCCCCCTCCCTCCCTCTCTCTCCCCCTCCCTGGAGGAACCGTTAGGTGTGCGCCCCTCCAGAGGCTGTAATTTTCCAGTTCCTCTTTTTCTCCCCTCTCTCTCTCTCTCTTCAATACAATTCCTCGTCAGTGCAAGTTGCAAAAGGCACTACTACCATATGTCCTGAAGAGGAATCAGAGGGGAGTTCTGAAGCTTTCCAACAGACCTCACAACCTCTGAGGATGCCTGCCAGAGATACAGGCGAAACGCCAGGAGAGAATGCTTCTGGAACATAGCCACACAGCCCGGGAAACTCACAGCAACTCAATTCAAAACCTTTTATTAGTTGATGCATCCCCACAATTCCTGGAAAAGGAATCAGAGGGGAAATATCAGTAAATATACCACACACACACACAAAGTGCTAATCAAGGTGGCCAATTGCCACATTCACCCTTGCCTCAAGCAGACAAGAGTTCTTTCTCCCACCCAGGACTCATTATTCCACACATTTATAAACCCCGCTTGCCTAGTTTTCAACAGACCTCACAGAGGGGATTTATGAAGCTTTCCAACAGACCTCACAACCTGTGAGGATGCCTGCCATAGATGTGGCTGAAATGTCAGGAGAGAATGCTTCTGGCCCAGAAAACTCACAGCAACCCAAAAAGTTCTTTCTCCCACCCTGGTCTCCCACAGATATATAAATCCCACTTGCCTAGTTTTCAACAGAACTCACAATCTGAGGATGCCTGCCATAGATGAAGGTGAAATGTCAGGAGATAATGCTTCTGGAACATAGCCATACAGCCCAGAAAACTCACAGCAACCCAATTCAAAACCCTTTATCAGTAAATTCTTGGACAAGGAATATCAGTAAATACACCACACACACCCAAGTACTAATCAAGGTGGCCAATTGCAACATTCCCACTTGCCTCAAGCAGAGGAGCGTTCTTTCTCCCACCCTGGACATCCCACAGATATACAAACCTCACTTGCCTAGTTTCCAACAGACCTCACCACCTCTGTGGATGCCTGCCATAGATACAAGCGAAACGTCAGGAGAGAATGCTTCTGGGACATGGCCTTAAAGCCCAGAAAACTCTCAGCAACCCATTAGGGCTTCCCTTTAGCAAGAAATGCCCCCCGAGGTGTTCGAGGGAGCAAAAGCAAGGGTTTCCTTTTCTTTCCTTATGACTGAACTAGATCCAAAGTGTAGTCTATTGTTTTTGCGACTCTTTTTTTTTAAAGTTATCCCTTTGCCTGTCTTGAAAAGTTTGTTGGGGAGACGCCTCGCCACGGTCGCCACTCAGCCGGCTTTTGTATGAGGAGAGAGGAAATGGAGATATGTATACATATAGCGTTTCCGGAGAATAATCGGCATTTGTGGATCAAAGAGCGCGAGATGCTCGCATTCAACCCAGTGGAGGGGGGACATCTTCTGTGGTGGGAAAGGGACTGGCGAGGAGGGGGAGGAGGAGGAGGCAGGTGCTCTCTCTCTCTCTCTCTCTCTCTCGCCTCGAAGAAGCAGCTCCCCTTCAGACCCTTCCTGTGCCTCCCGCCCCAAATCTGACACGCAGGATCCCGCTTTTTATTGTTACTATTGGTCTTTGGGGGAATTTCTGCACTGAGTACAGAGGGACTTCCGAGTTTCTTGCTCCAGAAGGGGAAGGGCAGGCTAGCGCAACGAGCGAGCGCGTCTTTCAGATCCGGAGTGAAGTAACTTTGCAACGGCAAGGAAACACAGTTTGGGTCGCGCCGCGCGATCAACAGGTGGCTCCAAACTCAGAACAGTGGAAGTGGGAGGGAGAGATAGATACATAGGTAGGTAGGTAGGTAAGTAGATAGGTAGATAGGTAGGTAAGTAGACAGACAGATAGATAGGATACGTAGATAGATAAATAGATAAGATAGGTAGGTAAGTACAGTAGATAGATAGGCAGACAGGATACGTAGATAGGTAGGTAGGTAGATAGGATACGTAGATAGATAAGATAGGTAGGTAAGTACGATAGGTAGGTAGATAGATAGATGGATAGATGGATAGATAGATAGATAGATAGATAGATAGATAGATAGATAGATAGATAGATAGATAGGCAGGCAGGCAGGCAGGCAGACAGACAGACAGACAGACAGGATACGTAGATAGGTAAGTAGGTAGATAAGATAGGTAGATAAGTACGGTAGGTAGGTAGATAGATAGACAGACAGACAGGATATGTAGATAGGTAAGTAGGTAGGTAGATAGGTTGGTAGAATACGTAGATAGATAAGTAGGTAGGTAGGTAGATAAGATAGGTAGGCAGATAGAATACCTAGGTAGATAGGTAGATAGGATACATAGATGGACAGATAGATAGATAGATAGATAGATAGATAGATAGGATACGTAAATAGATAGATAGGATATGTAGGTAGATTAGGTAGGTAGATAAGGTAGGTAGATAGGATACATAGATAGACAGATAGGATATGTAGGTAGGTAGATAAGTAGGTAGATAGATATGATACGTAGATAGATAAGTACGTAGGTAGATAGATATGATACATAGACAAACAGATAGATAGATAGATAGGATACGTAAATAGATAGATAGGATAGGTAGGTAGATTAGGTAGGTAGGTAGATAAGGTAGGTAGATAGGATACATAGACAGACAGATAGAATACGTAGGTAGGTAGATAAGTAGGTAGATGGATATGATACGTAGATAGATAGATATGATACATAGACAAACAGATAGGATACGTAGGTGGACAGACAGACAGAAAGATAGATAGGATACGTAGATAGATAAGTAGATAGGTAGGTAGATAAGATGGATACGTAGATAGATAGATAGATAGATAGATAGATAGATAGATAGATAGATAGATAGATAGGATAGGTAGATAAGTAGGTAGACAGACAGACAGACGCCCCTTCCTGGTGAAGAGTGGACACTTTCTCATGTGGGAAAGAAAGCTCAAAGTCTTCTCAACCAGCCTTCCTGGAAAGCATCTCCCTGCGTGAATGGATGCAGTTTGGCACCACTTTCACTGCTCGATGCTGTGGGATCATGGGAGTTGCACTTGTGCAAGATCTTTCGTCTCCTCCTCCAAACTGCAATTTAAAGAGGTGTCCCAACTTCATGCCACAGTGCAGATGCGCCCTTTGGGTCAGGGCGGGGGTCCTCCACGCGGGAGATGGACAGTCCACGCGACCCACGGCGCTTTCCTCTGGAATTTTGGCGCGCGCGGGGAGGAGGGGGCCCGAGGGGGAGGATGCACAGCCAATCAGGAGGCAGGAAGGGGTCAGCACTTGCCCATCCTTTCCTTTCGGGGCTAAGAACGCAAGGCTATCTAAACGCCTCACCAAAAAATACCCGGCCCATAGCAAGTTGTGCCCTTTCTACCTCAAGCCCCAAATCAGTTTGTGGACTCAGGGTGCATTGACGCTATAGACCAGGCATGGGCAAACTTAGGCCCTCCAGGTGTTTTGGACTTCAACTCCCACAATTAGGAATTGTGGGAGTTGAAGTCCAAAACACCTGGAGGGCCCAAGTTTGCCTATGCCTGGTCTAGAGAATAGATGAGCCCTGAATCTACAAATTAGTTTGATGCTGTGTCAAACAAGCCATCCTCTCTCAGAGAGAGGGAATGCAAACACCCACTGCTTGCTCAGGGAGGGAAGCACCTTCAAAGGATTGGTTGGAAGAACTTGAATTCACAAACAAACCAGTGAGACACTCCATACGTTCCAGGTTTAAATTCAGACTCTGAAAGAAGTGTGTACAGTGTGCCTCAAAATAGGTTCAGCACCTTGGATAGCTCCCTTACCGTTTGCACTTGAATCCTGCGACAGCTCAAAGGACCAAGACCCCTTTGAACTGGATTATCTGAGTCCACACTGGATTATATGTCAGTGTGGACTCAGATAACCCAGTTCAAAGCAGATATTGTGGATTAACTGCCTTGATATTCTGGGTTATGGGACTGTGAGGAGAAGTCCTATCTGACAGGGAAGGCCCACCAACTTGCAGAAATGTGGGATCTTTCTGTCATTTGGGGAACATTAAAGGGGTTCAGTGTTGGTCTTGCTGTGGTTAGTTATGACTAGAGTTCAGCTAGATTTGCTTATGTGTGGACTCACAATTCAGCAATGCATTCAGGGGGAGGGTCTCCTTAAGGGCTCTTCCACACAGCCCTATATCCCAGAACATCAAGGCAGAAAATCCCACATTATCTTAGTGTGGACTCAGATGACCCAGCTCAAAGCAGATATTGTGGGATTTCCTGCCTTGATATTCTGGGATATGGGGCTGTGTGGAAGGACCCTGAGTTGGGACAGACCAACAGGGTTGCAGCTATTCTAGCCATTCTCAAAACCCTGCATTAACTCAGTGAGACCGCAGTGGGCATGTTCTCAAGGCTGGAACCTGCTTCCCACCATAGCAAGAAT